TTAGTGTAGCATTTGTGAGAGCTCTTAGTGAGTAGTAGTCAAGTAGATTGTGTGCCAATTGATCATTGCAACTAGAATTGTTGGACAGGTGGCTTGCAACCCTTGTAGAGCTAGAGCAAGTTTGCATTTCGCTATTTGTCTTACTAATCAAATTGCTCTAGTTGATTTGTAGTTTTTAAATAGGCTATTCACCCCCCCCTCTAGCCATATTAGGACCTTTCACCAACGTGGGGAGACCCACGCGCGCGCCGACGATTATGAAAAATAGACCCCGGATTTCAACTAAATGAACCCACAGTCCTTTCTACTTTTTCACTTGCGGCCGTGGCTAGCAGCCAGGTGACTCCGCACTTGTGGCCGTGGCTAGCAAAGAATAAGCAGCGCAGAGGAAACCGTGACACGGCGAAGCGGCGGTAGCGGGCTGGCCAGAGCAGCAGGGCCACGACGACGGCGGTGGTGGCTGAGCAGCCAGACCGCCGGGCACGGCGTGCTCGTGCGTGCATCGTGTGCCAATGCGCAGCAACGGCGGTGCCCGTGTGTGAGCCAGGGGCAGGCCAGTGCCGCGCGCCAAGCCGAACCGAAGCCTAGTGACCGTGGCCAGACGCTGCAACCGTTCGGGAACGTGTCTTGCACGCTTTTTAAAGTGTCCCAAAAAAACCACCTTAATGTTTCAATTGCTAAACCAACTATTATACGCTCGAGATGGTATATCAAGCTACTAAAACAAACCCTAAGACCATGCCACTAATTAACCCGATTCTCCTATAAAAATTCCCAAACGTAGCCTCGTCACACGGTTTTCTAACTCAAGAAATTGATAGTCTCGCTCGGATTTACGTCAACTTCGATTTCCAAGCTACCAACCTAGCTAGTTAGTGACTCCCGTTCTCGACCGCAAGTGTTTCACCGTCACCTACGAAGTTTGTACTACAAACTTTACTAAAGTTTCGTATAGGCATTCTATAGCATTCTCGTTCAATAAAAATTCGTTAAGAACAAATATAACATTCGTTTCGCGTTTCCGATGAACGTTTCGAGTTATGTATATTGCTTTACACCCTATATTACACATATTTACACATAAGTATGATGCTCATGCAGTGTTTTAGCAAAAGACTGTACAGCGTAACACAGAGGGTGTTACATGGCCGTACCACTCGTTGGCGTGGCAAGCGCAACGTCGGCGGTGACCATGGTGGTGAGCGTCGCGAGCATTGCCACGCACACCTTGCCCCAGAAGCCAGCGTGACGCAGGTGCAAGCGCTGGGCGGCGGCGGTGGCCGCCGAGGGTGCCAGCTCTAGGGCCACGGCCTCGGCAAGTGCGGTAGCAGACCCTTCGACCGGTGGGCTCACCACGGAGCTCGGTTAGCATGTGATTGATCTCCTTCGGGAGCGCCGCGGTGGCCTCAGTGTTGTTTACCTTGGCCAGGCGCAGCAGGCGCGCGTCCTCCTCTAGAGTCCACGCGCGAGGAAGCCTCAGGCGGACCACGATGCCCGCTGCGGACCAGCTCGGCTGCTGCTTCGACACCTGCACCGACGACGCATGGGCGAGCTCTAGCCCGGCCACGCCTAGGCCATGGCAAACGTTGCGCACGCGATCACTGATCGGGGGGTATTTTTGACCGAGATAACAACTTTGTTCCTTCATTTTAACAGAATGCTACTTTTAGGTTATGGTCCAACCTTTCTGTGGTATTTTATGGGGGCGCAAACTTTTGAGGGTATTTTACGGAGATCGCGATCTTTCAATGCTACACAACCAATTTTCCCTATATAAAAACATGTCGGCTATGCTGATGACTGTGGTGTTGTATTACAGTGGCGAGGATATTCCCTCCATCTAAAAAAGAATATAATTCTCACTTGTTAAAAAAATAAACAATTCAAACTTTGGCCAAAATTATAAAAAAGTACTAATATTTATAATACAAAATAAGTACAATTAAATTAACTACAGAATGTATTTTTATAATAAATTTGTTTGAAGACATAAATGTTAATACTATTAATTATAAATTTAGTCAAATTTGAGCTTGTTTAACTTATATAGGAATCCCATAATTACGTTCTATTTGGAATTAAGGGCCTGTTTGGTATGGCTCCACTCCTAAACTCCAGCAACTCTATAAAAAAATTCAGCCAAACACCCCAACTCCGAAACTCTACGGAGCTGCCGACTCCATGGTGTTGTAGTACAAATGGAGGTGGAGTTTTGAGCACCTCTTTTGCAGCTCCAAAACCACTCAATATGAACCTCCTCGTGGAGTTGGTGGGAAATTACCCACCACTGCCACTGATTACACAGAAAAACGGTTCGATTCTATTTCTCTGAGACCCCCGCACAGTGACTCCCTCCCGCGCCGTCGTCTTCCTCCCCCGCCGCCATGGGTGGCCGCCGAGCTCCTCTGTGACCGAGCCCTCCCCTCGCCTCGCCTTACAAAAACATGCCTGAGCTCCGCAGTAGCACGCCACCGCCGCCTCTGCCCTCCCCGAGCCCTCTACCTCTGTCCAGCGCTCGAGGCGACGCTCCGACCTAGGAGTGATGCGGTCATAGGTCCGGTCGTAGAACTCTACTGCGCCACAGACGAGGAGATCCTCGGGCTCGGTCACGAGAGCTTGGAGAAGGAGGAGAAAGGGATCTGCTCCTTCACCGACCACTCGGGCTGGATGTCAACGGACGGCTTGGCGGACGAGGAGGAGGGCCCGCCGCTGTTGAACTGGTGGTTCGTGTGGCAGTTCTGCTGCTAGTGGCGGTCGCGGCAAGCGCGCTCCTTCTCGGCCTCGTGACGCCGAGCCTCGACCTCCTCGTCGCGGCGCTGCGGGAGCTGGGGCCGCTGCTGGAAGCGCCAGCGGGGCCGAACCGCGGGTGCCGTGGCGGCGGCTTGCCGTCAACGAGGCGGAAGGACGAGTCGTCCGCGGACGCGAGCCCGATGGAGTCATCGAGCCCCGCGAAGTCGAAGACGGCGTCCCGAGCGGCGGCAAACGCCGTGGGGCCCGGCGGGTTGCGGGTCCAGTCGGTGATGCGGCCCAGCTTGTCGGAGCGGGAGAAGGAGGCGAAGGGGACAGACGAGCGCGGCGTGCCCGTGGTCGCCGCTGACAGAGAAGAAACGGAGAGGAAAAGAGGGGAAAAAAAGAAAATAGATTAGTCACTGACAGTGGGACCCACATAAGCAGGGCAAGAATGACAATCTACCCTCGAACTCCTCTTTTTTGGAGCTGGGGACACCCTCCTAACCAAACACCTCTATCAGACAGTTCCAACTCCACCCAGAGCTGGCTCCATCTGAAGTTCTGGAATGGAGCAGCTCTATCCAGAGTTGGAGCCATGCCAAACGGAGCCTAACTATGGGGCGCTGAGCAGTTTTACTGGAGAATATTTTCTTGAAAATTCGAAATTCCTGTGGACTTCTTGTGTAGCATGAAGCATCGCTGTCGGTAGCATTTTGGAAATTCATAATGTGCTACTTTTTTCGAAATGGAAAAGATTCTGAACGACATGGGAAGGTAACACTTTTCGAAATGGACAAAGTTCTGCACCACATGGGACACAAAAATCGCTTTGAAGTGCCATTTTTTTTTAGACTAGACTCCTAGTGTATAAGTTGTAGTATCTGTACTCTACACAACACACCACTATACACACGCATATCTCTAGAAGCTACAATCTATACACCTCAAACGCCCTTCTGAAAATCACCGAAGCCATACGAGTCTCGTAAACGACGGGCACGTCGTAGTCCCATTGTAGCGCCACGCCAGTATCCAAGACCTACAAAATTATTTATTAAGAATAAATCCCATAGTAAGAAATCACTTACCCAAGCAGGGTCGAACTCAGGACCCGTGGCGTCCACACCGGAGAGCTCACCATCCGAGCTGCAGCTCGGTCCCCTTTGAAGTGTCGTTGTATACAAGTCAACTCACTATAAGGTTCTACCTCTAATGCCACGCCACATGATTGCAACACCACTAATTTGGTTGCCATAGGCCGTATTGCAACATTTTAAAAAAAAAATGGTTGCAATATGTGCCTATAATGCAACGGACTAAATTTATTGCAATATGTGTGATTTGTCGTTACAACAGGCTTGTGCTACTGCAACCATTTAAGAATTGTGTTGCAATTAGTTGGCATTATTGCAATGGCATTTTTGAGTTGCAATAGTATTAGTTTTCGTTGCAATTACTTGGTGTTATTGCAACTATATTGAATTTGGTTGCTTTTGCTTGTAACTATTGCCACGGTTATTATGGATTGCAATAATGTTCCATGGTGTTGCAATTGCTAGGGTGGTTATTGCAACAAGATTTTCGAATGGATGCAATAACATGTTCCTATTGTCACGGTTTTCTGAGGTTGTAATAATTTTTTGTGACGTTGCAATTATTAAGTACTTATTGCAACTACAATTCTAAATGGACGCAATATCATGTTAATATTGCCATAGTTTTTTTGTGTTGTTATAGGCTACCGCTGATGCAACGGCCTAAAAGTGTTGCAATATACAAAATTGGTTGCAATATACAAAATGCTCCACGTATTAGACTACCCCTGATGCAACGGCCTAAAAGTGTTGTAATATACCAAAAATAGTTGCAATAGACAAAATGCTTCACGCATTTCTAAATAATGTATTCTATTGACAAAAAAATGTTCCATAGAGGATTTGATCCCAGGAACTAAAGTACAAGCAAACACTCATCTACCACTGGGCTACTGAGATGTGTTCAACATTAAGCCACCTTTATATTACTTGTTTACATGACGAAGATGGCTAATTCACTTCATATGTCAACAAAGACGATAACCATCCGCATCTTCCATGACAATTTCAGAAAACAAAAAAATTGTCCAACTTGCTGATATTTGTGCTTATGATAGAAAACAAACATGAGTATAACAGTTTAAAGACCAACTGCAGCTATTCATTATCCCGGACAATGAGATTGTTTTAAAAAAAATCTAGAAAAAACATCACTGTCGTACAAAGGATAAGTATTTAAACAAAGAAATCATCTTCTATGCTTTCTACCGCAAATGGTGCAACTCCATCGTCAATGTAGGTGTCATCTTCGTCGTCATCATCCTCATCAAGTAAGACCACATCATCTGGTTCGAGAACGTATCAGCTACATACATCACATGTTTGTGCATAGAAGCTAGCAGGTCTGTGTACACTATCAATTGATTTTTAGAAGAAAAAAATCTCTTGAATCATCAGCAAGTCAGCTTGTTGTTAGTGTTGCTCTTCCAACCCACCTCCTAGAATAATCTGTAAAACAGATCACCAAGCAGCAGCTTCTAGAAATTAAAACGAAGTATTTGAAGTTGAAAACTTCGATGATTATAGCTTTGGTCAATCAGAGAAAGACAACACAAAGTGCTTTGACAACATAGCAAACTAAAACAAAAAAAATGTGATGAGTGTTGGTGTATGAGTGCATTGATCCTTAGATGGCAAATATTATATGAGATGGGACTAAAATCTGATGGTTTAACATGAGTAAAAATAATATAGACCAACTATTTTCATTGAAAGAGCCAATCATTTCTTACAGTATTCAAGAAGTGTCCCATAGCTAGCACTGGAAGTTATCTATGTCCAAACTGTAAAAAACCACAGTTACATAATGTGAGCTACCTAGCTGCCCTACTCCAGCTAGCATAATATACTTCCAAATCCCCCACTACTTTTCAAATAGGATAGTACTATGTATTCTGAACACTAAACTTGTCCAAAGAGAAACAAGCCTAAATATTGTAATGTTGAAACAATAAATTCACAATGCCTATGCATCTGAACAGTGGGAAATTCTGAAAGTAAACTTATTGGAAAAAAGTAAATTCACAAAGTTATGGTAATTGTAGCTTACAACTCAACAGTCTCCAATGTAATCCAAAAACAGTGAAAGGAACCTGTTGTTGCATGGACGGTCATCATTAGGCCCTCAACAATGCCAAATTCCATGTTGATAACCTGCAGACCATGAATGTATATTAGCATGTCAAGTAATGAGCAGTGATATTGCAATGGCAGCACTGGAAGATACTCGGCATCCAAAGGGCATGGAACTCTAAGTACAAAGGACTTGCATCTTTTATCATTTTGCAATTACAGTATGTCAAATTATTCTATTTCATAATTTGAACTTACTAGCCAATCAATAAAGGATCAGATACATTTACGAATCAATATATATCCACTTTTTTACAGAAACTACGACAGCTTATGCAAATATATAGATTAAGGACAATATCCAAACGCAGAAAAAGAACAGATGAGGACACGATCTACCTCAACTGAAATAACCGTGTACCTATGTGTGTATGAGAGAGAAGGGTGATTCGTTCATCACCTGGGTGATGTGGAGGCGGCATCCATGGGAGGACTCACGGACATATACGACTTGCCGGGTTTCACGCCTTCACCTCAACACCTGCAACATATAAGAAAGATTCAGAAAAAAAAAAGATGGATCAGGCCATGGACAACAAATGGAGTTCTTGGGATGCAGCAGCTTCTCCCTCATGGCAAGATCTGCTGGCGACCATGGTAATACCTGGGACCCTAATACCTGTACTAGTCGCCCTTCATCTTGACCTTGGACTCAGAGGCGCTGGCGGATAGGACGAGGCGGGAGTCGAGCAACGCGAGGATGTCGTCGTAGATGCGGGCGAGCTCGGCCTCCACCACGAGCAGTAGGTGCGGAGAGAGGGAGCACGCGTGCCTTCGTAACATGGAGCTAGCCGGCGGCGGCGCTGCCGCCGCCGCCGCTGCACCCGCGCCGCACTACCGCCCAGCCTTCCTTCCTTCCTTCCTGGCGTTTATGCAGCGGCAGTGGCAAGCAGATGGGGCAGAGTCCGTGCAGCTGGGGGAGGGCGCCGGTAGCGGAAGGGACTGGGGCGGCTGCGGCGTGGCTTGCGGTGGTGACTCGTGGGTGGATGGAGTGCGGTGGTGGGTGGACAAAGGAGGTGAATTTGGGACGAGTAGAGACGCAGACACGGGCGGTGGAGAATTTTCAATTGACCAGATAGACAGAGACGCGCGTGGCACGGCGGGAGAGGGAAAAAATTGGCGGCGGCTGAAAATTTTGGTGATAGGTAAAGGCAAAAAAAAAATGATACCCCACGATTCAATGTCACACGATTTTTCATGACATATGATGACTTAGAAACCAAATTTGCAAAGTAGAGTACGCATACATTTGAATTTTCCTTCTAAATTCATCTTGAATCTTGAAATGTATTTGTATGTTCATAAATATATCTTTTTTCTATGACGTAGAGTACACATACATTTATAGGATTATATGTCCTTGTGCATGATTGTGTATGGCATAGTGATCCACCATGGAATTCGACTAATCAGTGGTGTAGCATGTGGGCACAGTGAGAGCTATTAGAGAAAGTTTGTGTGTGTTAGGCTTTGTTTGCATAAAAATTTTGTAACTAATTTGTTATTTTTATAGTCAAAATGAATTTTTGCGTGTTGGTGGAAAATAACTTCAAAATGAATTTTTGCATGTTAAGAAATAACAGTAAAAGGAAAAAAAATCCATGGCACCGATGGATATCAACCTAAGACTAATTTGTTGATACCAATTCGGGTTATACACAAGTAAAGGCTAGCACCTTTTAGGAACATTGGGGAGGGGTATATCAAGGTTGCTTTAAGGTCAGTAAGGCCACCTAGAACACCAAGGAATCTCGTCGAAAGAATCGTTGGCCAACATGAGGTTGGAGGAGCAAAGTTAGGAAAAAAGGAGTAATAAATGTATTTTTGACGACCCTATGTTTTGCGATCGCCTTGACGAGAGAAACATAATTGTGAAGTATGTTATGCGCTTTGGCAATTTCTCACTGTTACCACAACCATAATTAATAAAAACTAAAAAACTAAAAATAAAAGCTATGGCACCAATGTGGGTCGAACCTAAACCATGCGAATTCCAAAATTTAACTATACTTTATTAGAAAATGTTATTATTAAAAAATAACACAAGAAAGAAAAAAATCGTATGTGGCAATTGGCGGAACCAGAAGAATAACTTAGGAGGGGTGAGACGAATGTAAGACATAGAGATAAAAGCACTTTTAACAACTCCTTCACATAGAAATAGTTACTGTTACTATGCTGCAGGAGTATTAAAAAAATTCATACGGGCCATGAAATATCGAGGCATCTCCGACAAATTTTAATCAATTTTACAAATTTTTAGATGTGAACACGATATTTTTATCTTTAGGGTCCATTTTTAATGTGGGTTCTGCATATAGACTTAGTTATATCAATATGCATAATGTTGTCGTATGCCTTGGCCTTCGAACACTAGGTGGTTGCCGAACTAACGAGAACTCGAAAAAAGTTTCACAGGAGCGCGGGGTGGAACAAAAGGAGAACGACGAAGTGGATTCTAAAATAGAATATATCACTCTTCATCCTTCTTGCAGCAACAGCTGTGGATCTTATTTATATATATACGTAGACTTTACATGGGACCGAAATGCCCTTTGCACCTACTGCAGATTCGAATCATATCCTAGGTAACCAGGGCAAATCCGGTCAAAACAGCCTACGCCACCCCTAGTCAACACAATCCCTAGTGATCACTTGGCCCTCGCTCGATGCAGGGAGGGGACCAGCCGGGCCAGACTGTCTTCGGTCTTCACGAACGACACCCTTCGACCTTCGGACAGGCTCTTCTGCCTCATCTACCATTTCACCCGGGGCGTCCCTTCCTTCAGTCACGATCCTCGTAAACCTGAAGATTTCCTACAGACGACGAATACTCATATATAACGACGAAATGGTACTTGAACACTCAGAAATGATGAATACCAATCGCGCCCATAAGGCTGCCCATTTGCCCTATGACGAACGCCCTTGTGGCGCCCCCCGCACATGCCGGTAAAGTTGCCGCGTTGCTGAATGCTAGAGAAGCAGACTGCAAGACAGTAGAGGGTGAGGGGGTGGCAAAGAAGGATGCCTGCCCCCAACACATAAAGTATGTGACTTTTGCACTGAGTTATACTCGCTTTGTCAACAGAATGATGTAACTTTGAGATTTGCACAAAAGTGAGTATTACGGGCTTGATTGGTTTGCGACCAAAATTTTGCCATGTCAAAGATTTGGCAAATCAAAGTTAGGTAAAAAATTCGCCATAGATTTGGAAAGTTAAATGTGAAATGTTGGTAAGTTTTGGTAGCAAATCAAACAATAGCCTGAATTATGACTTGCCAAATCCTTACATATTTTGGAAGCCAACCAACGAGGCCCTACATTCTTTTTGTTGATAAAGGGAGTATTGAGTAAATTTTAGTCAATATTATCATAAAAAATTCATATTATGAGATCTTGTAACATATGTCCTTAAATATATTTTAATGAATTTTAAAAGTCTTATCTAAGGTACATATAGTTCAAATTTAAGTTATTTTCAATCATTAAATACACATAAATTCAAAATTATTGACTATAAACATGGTCCTAACCTCCGTACACTTTGGTCCCCACTCCTGTACAAAAAATAGTAAAGTTCAAAAATTAATAAAACTCCAAAGTATATGTAGTATATTACATATAATAAATGGACCATGCTTTTTTCGAAATCTAATTAGAAATTAAAAATTAGAAATATATAGAGAGAATAAAATACCAACTATAACACGCACCCAAAAATTAGCTACTACCGCTATCCGCCGCGCAAACCGCAGCCACCAGCCAAAAAGTCCCGCGCTCGTGCTCGAAACAAAAATCTCAATCTCAAATCCGGCCCCTCACATCCATACGGGCGCATTTGGTATTGTTGGATCTCTCCTTCGGCAGTCGGCATTCGGCAAGCCTGTGACTCCCACTTTCGGCGCCCCTCCTCCCCTCCACCACGACGCCCTCCTCTCCTCTCACTGCTGCGCTCGGAGGGGCAGGACGCCGCCGCCCTAGCCGGAACTGCTGGCCCCGTGCTGCCGCTGCCAGCCCGGGCCGGGCGGGCGAGCTGGCTGGCCACGTGCCGCCGCTGCCGTCCCTGGCCGAGTGGGCGAGCTGCTGCCACTGCCGTGGCTTGGGTGGGCAAGCCTTGCTCGCCCCGGGCTGGGTTGGGCCTGGACCCGGTCCCGATCTGTGTCGTCTCCGTCCGATCTGCGCCATGCTGTGCTTCTTCACCCCTCAACGGTGAGATCCGGCGCCGTTTTCTCTTGATGAATGTGTATGGAAGTTCTGTGAGTTGTACTGTAAATTGTGGTTCTAGGGTTAGGGTTGGCCAACAATCCCTCTCCTGTTTGCTCCATGGCTTATTTGATCTGGTCAGGATAAATTGATTTGTTTCAGTGCACCAGCTCAGCAGCGTACAATAGATTGATTATTGACCTGGGCATAAACGAAAACTACTTTGGATTCTTATGTTGTTAGCACATACTTATTCTTGAATCAATGATTGTCACTTTAGTTGAGTCAGAGCTAGCTTACAGCAGCGATAGAGGTATATTACCATGTATTGGGTGGTATATAGATCATAGTGTTGTAAGATTCGCAACATTTCAGTGACCGTTACCATGGATTTTGGCCTGCTACATGTGTATGTATTTTTTTCAATTAGTAAGTATATGCTTACTTATATTTACACCCTGGATCTATAGCAATCATTATGTTGGCAAATATTAGCTACTCAGTCTGTAACTCTATAGCATATCAGTGGCCTTGTTACCACTGATTTTGGGCTCCTAGCTTGGGGGAAAAGCTAATTTGCTCAACAGCATGTAAGGTGTTCCTTTTCAGGGATGACTATAAGATTAAATTTCTGTACCATTCTTGCTCTTTAATTGTGAATTTGTGACCCTATCTGAGATTGGTGCACTTGCTGCTGTTGCTTTCCTTCGTAGTAGATTAAGATTGCACTTACAAATTGCCCCTGTTTCAGAACATATTCTTCCCTTAAAGCACCTATCAGTTCATCTACTTTGGTTTCCCTGTGATTCTAGCTGATGGTACGTCTGTTTTCCTATATATACTTTGGTTCCCCTGGCAGTTCACTTCATTTACTAACTGGTTAAATTTTTGCAATCCTTTTGAGTACCTGAGTGTGACCGGAAGTGCCACAAATTTGAGTTTGACATTTGGTGTTGAAGAAACCTTCCTCTATGTTAATTGAGATGTTGGTAGTCTGTTATAAATTGATTGACTTGCCTCTTCTTTTTTCTTGGTAATGTGTTTTCTCTGACAATTGGTGAGACAAGAAAGGGAAATTTTAGCTATAGCTGTATTTTGCCACAAGATGTAGCTTAATTGTTATTGTTCAGAGATGGTAATTTTATAGCTCTCTGTTCTCTGTTACAGATTAAGCTCAAGATAATCAGTGGACATGTCCTGATCATGCTTGTAATTCAGTGCTTCATTGTTTAACGAGTTGTGATGCAATATTTTCCAAGTTTATATTGATACACACCACTTTTGATCTATTTCTGCCATGTTAAAACTATTTTCCTCGACTGCTTGTTGTTAGTTGATCTCCACCAATAGGCCCAACGGCCTATTGGGCCCTATCTCTGCTCCCTGATCGGGGGAGCCCAACCCTAACTCGGTTGGAGGGCCCCTGTCGCACGGCACACATAAAAGGAATGTGGGGGTGAGGGCTCGGACTATGAGGTTCACTGGAGCCACAATCCCACCTAAAGAGAAACCCTAATCCGATCCTAAAGCGTGCTGCCAGCGACGGGATGTGCCCCACCACCACAGTCGTGCCTGC